TCTTTGTTACTAGGCAAATTCAGAGGTTGTAGATCGCATTCACTGGAATACTCTCGCTTTTATTTATACTTTATACAGTCAATAAAGTGCACCCTCTCTAATGAGATTAGTTTTTGTACTTCGCATCTCGCACAATTCGGTCGTTCGGTTAGGCTGAGATATGTTTGTTTAAGTGTCAAAATCTCAGTCAGAATCAGTTTTTTAACAAATTTGAGATAATTCCTGTGAAATATTATATTCACAAGTGTCAATTACTAGCAACGGAAAATATAATGTCGGCCGTTTTTATGTGTGATAACAGAACCTAAATCGAGGTAAGGCTAGACCTAGCCTAGCAGCATTGGATAGGCTAATGTTTTCGGCGCCTACGATATTTCTTCTCACGACCTATCGCAAAATCAACATGAAAGATTCATCCGCATTTATTTTTTGTGTGGAACACAAAAAATCAAATTTCAGTCTTATTTTACATTTTTTTCATTCTTAGGAATGTCTAAATTCATTTAATCTAGCAATTCCGTATTATATTTATAAATCTTTATAACATTATACAAAAATTAGATTTTTCTTAAAAACTGAAATTTTGCCGGGAATGGGGCTTTAATATATCATTTTTTGTAATTCATAAAAATTGAAAACAAAATACAGTAGTATGAACAGCCCTGTTTGACTCCTTGGTTGAAATTGAAGAATTAAGTTTATATATCTTGAAAAATAACTTTATTTTCATACACATTCTTAATAATTTGGAGTAAATTTCCTTTACCCCTACTAACAGCTGAAAATAACCCTTTTCTCTGAACAGTGTCAAATGTTTTTTTTTTCTTAAATCTAAAAATGCAAGAAATGTTTTTTTGCCTTCTGATTGTCGTGTGCTAATGATACTTTTATCATGGTTCGTATAATTAAACTGGAGCAGGCCGACTGCTATATATCGACTAAAAACACCATGTGCTAGATTTCGCCAATTTTAAGACTATTTGTTCTGTTGTGGATGTAACAGCAGTATAGTTGCAGTATGATGTTGGATGGCAGGTTGTTTAGGAGGAAGCTGTTTGTTATCCTTCTCTATTTTGGATCAAAGTTACAGTCTTTAATACTTAGTAATACATTTTTACGTCACATTTGAAGTAAGGAATAGATTAATTAGCATATATATTTGCTGCACACACGTGACACTGCCGCTTATTTATGTTATTGTTATAGGCTAACATCCACCCTAGCTAAGCTAGGCCTAGGCCCTAGCTACTACTACAGTACTAGGTAAGTGTCTATAATGTGCTTCCTACAGGTCACAGATAGATCCCTCTCTAGTAACAATAGTAGTAGTCTAGTAGTGGAAGCTCTCCATGCAAGGATAAGAATTGATTAGGGAAGTGACACGTGAAAGTAGAGTCTTGCCTTCTTGTTTACAAAGTACAGCAGAGGATTACTACTAGCAATCATAGGCCTAGATATTATTTGACTTGTTGAATTTTCTTTATTTTGTAATTTTTATTGAAATTACAATTGTTTATTTTTATTTTTATGATTTGATTAATTTAAATAATTTTATATGAATTATGCCTAAGTAGTAGTAGTGAATTCGATCCAACTCGGCCACAAGTCAACTCGGCCACAGTCAACTCGGCCACAAGTTAACTCAGCCACAAGTCAACTCGGCCACAAGTTAACTCGGCCACAAAAAGTTTGGCTACAGTCAACTTGGCCACAAGTCAACTCGGCCACAAGTCATCTCGGCCACAAATCAACTCGGCCACAAGTCAACTCGGCCACA